ACGCTGCTTCACAAATGAATCGTCGCGCAAAATGAACTCGTGGGGGATTTTCCAGGAAAAAACCCTCGACAACTGAACGAAAAGAGTGCTAGAAACTGAAAAAACCGTTCCATGAAAATGACATTTTGAGAGAGGAAAAAAGAAAACCCCTCAGCGTAAATAAACAAATATCAAAGACGAGCAGGTTCAGAAAAGATTCACCCTGCTTTGCCGTACCTAGACAGCACGTCTCGTGTTCCCATATCAACATTGAAACTCAATTTTGTAACCCATACCTTCTATCTACCCATAGAAAAAATTGCCGAAAATTGCCCTGTTGTAAATAACCCCGTGTTTAGAACACTTCGAAAAATGCCCTCACCTTCCAAGATCTGAATCTTCCTGAAAATATTTGTACATTCCAACTGATCGCGTAGATGTCGTACAATTTTCGCCGGACTCTCACCGCAACTTCCTGTTGATATCCTAAAAGCAAGGGATGGGGTCTTCGAGAAGCTTCAAGCCAAAAATTTATGACCCTGGGTTAGAATGGATACGGATAATGCCGTGCGGACTACTAGCAGATGGATGCCAGATGGGACAGATGACGGGCAGAACGGTTGGAATGACGGATTTCTTAGTGCTGTAACGCTTCCTCTGGCCCTTTTGAGAGAATGTGGTTCCATATAATCAACTTCAATGAAACAGGAATGAAGGAGGGTGAGGGTCAAGGGGGCTGGAAAGCGACTCAAAGGACTCGATGTACTGGCTCGATGCGCTGCATACAGACTTGAAAATAGCTAGAATTCACCCCGACCAGGCAATTCACTCCGGACAAGTGGCGTCATCATATCCGAACAGCGGACCTCCCAGAGTGGGACAATCGCTGAAGATTCCGATGAAGAAGAGGGCAGCTAAAGAGACAACTGTGCTCAGATTTCCTTTCTAATTTTTTTCAAGTTCTGTTTTTACCATCAACCTTCCCCATCACGGTCCTCCCTCAACCAACCATCGTGCATCAGCCATCGTGTGAGGGGGGATGTCCTCCGCTTGGCAAAAAATCCTTCTGATAGATGATTTCATCGCTCCAGGCACTAAGCACGGCCCTATGGAGGATACATTCTCTACATCCTCGACGCCCTGTGGAAGCCAATCAAAATCAAGCAGTTTACCTCCTCTTTGAGCAGAATCGTGCAGCCGATTGCTTCTCTGGCTGCTCGTCCGTATATAGCACAACGTCAACCATATTGTTGCTAAAATCACCGCCACAAGCCGA